GATCGATTTGTAATAAAATTGCCTTAAAAAAGTTATTCTTGTAAAATTTTTGTAAAATCAACGGTTTTCGAGTAATTTAAGAAACAAAATTTTAAACAGCCGCCATTTTGTTTTATGAATTTGAAAAATCGTCATAATTTTTTTGTAGCTTTGTCTAGTTGTCATACATGTTTGTGCAAAGTTTCAACTTCGTATGTTTAACCAATCTTCAGAAAAAAATTTATAAGTGAAAAAAAACAAAATGGCGGCTATCTGAGTAACTAAGGACTTCCGGACAATTTAAATATGATATTTAGATATGTTTCTTACCCAGGAACAATGCCCTAAAATATTGGTAGAGAGTTCCGGGACACCCTGCAAAATGGTATAAGATTACCTGTTTCCGTCTGTGATCCTACATTTGTTGTATAGAGCTACCGGTTTCAAGGTTATAACCTCATCATCAGGTTCTTCTTGTCACTCTTGCGAGATCGTAGAGTTTTACAAACACACAAAAACACTAACATTTAAATAAATAAACACCAGACATTGACAGACGAAGACGATTAACATGAATTCGGGAACTAGTTCCACACACAACGCGGCACGGGCAGGCATTTTGTCAACCGGTAATCTTATACCATTTTAATATTTAAGAAGTGATCCTGGACCAAAGAACATCAATATGATGTTATATATAGTTAGTTGTGAACAAAGTAAATTGAGTTTGTTCCAATGTCGATGGATAGCACCACTGTTCTGAAAAGCTAGACCTTAACTGTACGTAAGTGACGCCCTTTCCTAATATTCTGATACGTATTTTGATATTATTTTTGCATGAACATTTTTTTGCTATATAAACTAGTTTGCTTAATAGCCTAATACAAAAAGTATAGTTCGTTACAAAAGCAAAAAGGGTTTTTTCAACCCATGCTCATTTCCCTGAAACTCGAGCTCAGGTTGAAAAGAGTCACTTCCTGCCCTAATGATGAAGTCTACTATTGTTTTACTTTAATATTGCTAACAAAGTATGAATAATTATTTTTCACGCACCCAACTACATCTTTTGTCATAAAATAGTATGTAATTTGCATATAAAAAAAATGCTGCTCATTGAAGAAAGGATTAGGATTTTGGAAGACAAGGAAGTGGGTACGACTACGTCGGAAAGCAAGAGTGTCAGAAAAGAGGAGACATTAGATGAGTGGCAATTGCAAGGGGACGGGATCAAGATTGGGAGATGACCCATCATTGAACGCAGTTTTTCACAGGACATGGAAATTTCAAGGCGAATTTCAATTAAATTAAATTTAATTCAATTCAAGTATTCAATTAAATTTAATTTGCACACATAGTGTATCTAGACAAGGATTGAAAGTAGGACAAGCATAAGAAGAAAGATGATTTTTCACGGGGAATCGTCTTGGAAAATAAGTCAGATTTAAGCCAGAGGTGGTGGTGGGGACCAAGGGGCTTTGGTCTATGCTTTAGGTTATCGTCCATTAATCACAAGAGAATATTTTAATGACTTTCACAGAAAGAAACTGCAAAAACATCACGTAAACTGTGAACTCAATTAGGCCTTTTACCATCTCCACCTAACCAAGAAACCCTAAAACGCTAAATAAAAAAGATCAATACAAATCCTTCTTCTCGTACGTCTAGATTGCGCACGATTTCGATTTTTTTTTTTGTCAAGTTTTCTCGAGTACATAGCGAATGACTGGTGCATATCAAGTCCTAGTTAGTTCTGAATTAATGAACAAAATATTTATCATTCTGTAAAAATAAAATTACTTAGCTTTTTAAATGACAGTACTTGTCTTTATTAATCTTTGATGTTGACATATTTGATAAGAAATGGTACTTCTAAAGTCAACTTCAAAATTTTATCAAATTTACTTCAAGCTGGCCAGGAAAAGCATAACTATAGGCTAATTCAAACGTATTTTTCCTTACACTATTACAATAAAACTTCTCATATATTGTTATGCCAATGAAACACGCATAGGAATAGAACAATAAACCAATTATAAGAAACTGTTTTATTATAAATTGTAATTCACTTATAACCTAGTATTAAAAATTTAAGAATGTAACTTTCTACCTTGGAACCCTGATGACCAGTGAACGATAAAATATCTTGGAGTATGGCTGGACAAAAAACTTAATTGGAACTACCACGTCAATAAAAAACTGTCCCAAGGTTATGCACGCTTACAAAGCTTTTCCCTTTAATCAATAGGAAATCTACTCTGAAGCCAGCTTGTACAGTTCTAATCTACAAATCAATAATTCGGCCTTTGATTTAAAACTGATCATGAGGCAACTAAATAAAGTTAAAATATTGTAAATAATAATTTTTTTTGTGAAAATCCGATTTTTCTGTTATTTTATGGGAAAATAACACAATTTACAATAGGTAGCTTTTGAACCATAATTTTTACAGAAATGGAATGTGTACCATTTTGTTCAGAATATAAAGGACTATAACATACATCTCCTATCTGGGGATTAGCTAGGGCCTATACCAAAAAACAAACTCTTCAAAATTCAAGTGATTCAAAACAAAATTCTAAGAATAGTGGTGAATGCTCCCTGGTTTGTTAGAAACAGGCATATACATGAAGAGCTAGGAGTGGAGTCTTCTCGGCCTTTATTGAAAAAACCACTTCAAAATTTCTGAAATCTTTAAACAATGTGCATTAACTTAATGGTTAATAGTGCATTAACTTAATGGTTAATAGTGCATTAACTTTTCATCTTAGCGAAGCAACTGAGAACAGGAAGCTACGTCGAAGGCTCCCTCAAGATCTATTGGATGAATGAAGCCTATAGAAGATTAAATATATTTATCTAAATGAATTATGTTGCAGGGTGTCTCAGGTCTGGGCGAACCCACGATGTTATTATTGTTAATTTCTTGTTTATTTTGTTAACACTACCGTGAATAATGTCATCATTGAACCAGAAATTAATGCTTAAAAAATGTAACCACAAAACATAAAGATAACATAGATATGGTTTACATAATCAAAGATATATAAAACTATTATTAATGATAATGACCATTTTAACAGGAAAAATGTAGGTAATATCAAAGATAACTAAAGTCTAAACAAAAGTATTCTGAATAATAATCAAAGGATGACACCCAGCATTGGATATTATGTATCCGTAAAGTCTATACTGGATCTTCATTAGAATACATTTACAACAATGTGATTACTACAAATTCTACAATATAATAATGGTATAGCAAAAGTATCCTGAATAATAATCTAAGGATGAGCGGCATTGGAAATTATGCATCCGTAAAGTTTATACTGCATCTTCATTAACACACATTTACAACAATGTGATTACTACAAATTGAACAATGTAATCAAACATTTGCAAAAGTCTTTGATAACAAAATATAACGTAGTCGTGAGGACACATGGTTAAAGATTTTATTTATTTATTTATTACTTGGTACAGCACATATACAATGAATTTATATAATACAAAACTGCATAAGCCTTAAAAGAGGCTTGTCCGCAGCGTTTCTTATAATACTATTGTCTTTTCCATCTTTATCTTGATCTTGAGTCAGTGTGAACTATTACTGTACAGAAACTTTAGAAAAATAAATTAAATTCAAAAATAAGAACAAGTGTAAATGCAAGGAATATTCTTAAAATTATTTAACATGAGTATATACTTTCAGATTACAAACATTCAACAAACAAATAAACATCTAACAAGGAATAATAACAGCTGAAACGAACTTTATAACATACAATAAAACAGGAACAGGAACTATATTTTTAACAGTTGATAAAAGATATATGTATATATATAAAATTCTGTAAAGAATAACAGCAACTGAAAAACAACAAAAGACACAACTTGTATTATACTATGATTTAACAACAACAACAAATAAATGATATGATTAGTAAAGTAAAGACCTCAATCACTTAAATGGTTTTTGACGTTGTAGGCTAACTACTAGACTACAGAGCCACTTGGCGATCGAGCTAATAAAATTTTGTATATATAGTTACATCATCAGTCATTCAGGAAATTCAACCACTTCACTCCCCAGTCCAACTAGGATCAGACCAGAACTACTCTTATTTCATTGGTCAGTTTAGGGGATCTCACTGTGACCAGGTGTGTATGATTGTGTGCGTAGGCGACGCTAGCGCGACGTGGTGCCGGATTTCAGAACTTTATGCAGACGCACACTATAGAAAAACCGGCCCAAATGAGATCCACCTGTTTTCGGCAAACTTCGGGTATTTCCGTGATCCTGATAAGCTCAGGATGACCAATCAGATGCTTTGGCGTTCCGAGATCCACCACCACGGATCTCGAAGCGCCAACGGATCGCACTGTGCCGTTGTGTAAACAAAGTGCGGATCTCGTTTCGACACATTTGTAAGAGCTCACATACAGACAGATACACACTCACATCACTTCAAAAACCACTTTTTTGGGAAACGGATCTTTCCACTCAAAATTCACACTCGGAAATTTTGAGAAAAACAATACTTTCCCCATATACTATGGTTTAAGGGGAGAAAGTAAATGGAGAAAATTAAAGTAAATGTAAATCCCGAGATCGATACAGTGATAAATAATAAGGTATTTCTTCAATAGATTACAGCATTCAACTACACAATACTCCTTGTTTAATAACACTCCCCAAATATAACATAAGGTTTTATATAATCATATGATTTATAGTAAAGACAGAACAAGAGACCAGCCCTTTTATTTAATTCCTATGTTATTAAGGGTAAGGGAGCTGAAATTTTCTTAGAATTTTTTAAACCCTACTCAATAATTGTGTTAGTAATTAATTGTGGTTTCAAAATGTTCGGTCCATAGATAGGCAAGAAATATAAAATCAAACGTTTAAACCACTTTGTGGGACACCCTGTATATGATATCGCATAACATATATATATATATATAATATGTTATTCTTGGTTTGTCGGTTACTCATTAAGTATTATGCTTTGCTGTTGTAGGCAATCCTTGCCTTGGACTTGTTCATGGCAGTGATGGTGAGGGGTGATCTGTCCAGCCAGGGCCTCGCAACATTGGCAGTTAACCTCTGGAACTTGGCCAACAAGCACCGGCAAATCGACTCAAAGCGCTTGGTAATGTTCATGTAGCAGGGCATAGGTTATTATCATCATTTAAAAAAATTCATCGACGATTCATTGGCGAAGCAACTAATCAAATTTGAGGATCACAGATGATTACTGTTGCTATTTTTCAATAGTGTATTCAACCTAGGCCCCACTAGAAAAAGCAGGCCATGCTGCAGGATCCATGACGTCACACTAGTGCATAGATTTCATTGATAAATTCATTGCCATCACCATTCCCATATGTTTTAGGTAAATAAACAAGCTGGCTGTTTGTAAGATTTTAATGGTAAGAGTTTAGTACAACTATCCACCACTGTGACGTAGTGTTGCGCTGCCCGAGCTGCAGCATGGCCTGTTTTTTCTAGTGGGGCCTTGATTCAACTTAGGTAAGTTATAACAATTGTTGATACAGTTGGCATATTTTAACAATCAAATTTTATATACTAAAAACCTTTTGCAATACTTACGACAGCTAGCCTGACCATACTACTGGACCAATTTACACGCAGGTTGTACCAAAAGAAAGGTTATCAGTCCTATATGTGCAGGTTTTATTTGTATTTTGAGAATATTCATGTTAATTGGGTCAAAAATGGAAATTCAACTTTCTTATGTAGATTTAACATTTTTAATATATAGCTCATTCTATATATTAATAGACAAGCATGTTTAGTGAAATTTTTTTTTCTCAGCTCCTTTGAATTGCAGGGAAAATCTACGCATACTGTTAGATTAATGTTAGCCTATGTAGATGTGCAGAATCCCTTTATAAATTAAAAATAGACAAAAAAATAAGAAACAAAAATGAATTTAAAATATGAATAAATAATAACGTGGTTCTTATGGGGTGCCATGTTGGTAACCAAATAACAACAAAATATAAACAGAAAATCAAAACAAATGGAAGAAATTGCAATCACATGTTTTATTTAGAGCGTTGGGTGAAAATAGAGAAGTTTGCACAATGCATACTTTTGGTCGAGTTTTCGGCCATGGGGCGAGCTCTAGTTCATACTAAAATAGTCACCCTTAACCCTAGGAACTGCCCTGGCCTGATTAATGCAAAATTGCTCGATGCCCTTGCAATTTTGGCCATTTTGCAGAGGTTTTTTTAACAGTTCCCATTGCCTAAAGTACTGTTAATAACCTAGTCATATTCATACTTGTTTTGTTCAGAAAAGAAAGAAAGGAGATTTTGAATAAAATATCAGGAATCCCTAATGGTGGTTTTTTTGCAAAATGTGAAAAAATAAATTTTTGGAATAATTTTGAAAAGCAGGGGCCTAGCATTTTTACACCAAATGTTTTACAGGCGATCTAAGATATATTAAATGTAGGCAATTTATTTCCCTACGTGGAAATGTGACTGATTTGTTTCAAATAATTTTTTTACCAGAATTACGGGGGGAAATACGGAAAATGGGGAAAATCAACAAATTTGTACTTCAAATTTGAAATATAATCAGAAGTATACAATTTATATACAACTGTTGTTATATTACTAAAGGTAACAATACATTTATTCAGAATAATGTTATATTGTTCAAAGTTATAACTTTTTTATAACTTTATATGACTTGATAAACAAAATTTTAGTTTTTACGAAAACTAAAATTAGTTACCGTGGTCAAAGTTACGATAAATATTACACGTATTTATAGGAAATATATTCCTGAACACGAAAATATACATATACAGAAAACAAATAAATAATATCATAACATTAACAATAAACAAAAGGTTTCAGAAGCATGTGAGACACACATACCATTGTAGGCTAGGCTATGATTTAGGCCTAGGATATAGGCATAAACTCTAAACAACCACTATAGTTCGGCCACTCCTCCAGCATTGGTTTAGCATTAGCGCGCAAGTCGTTTTCTAAGCGGCCAAACTATATTTCAATAACACAAATTTGGACATAAATAATAATACTTATCCAGTGTAATATGGATAAATACTACTACTAAAACTCATACACCACCTGACAATACACTTCTTTTACACTAAAACACTAACCTCTGATGAAAATTAGCACAGATAATAATGTAGCCGCACTGTAAACCTTACTTACAACTTGTTTTTCCAGTTAAAACTAATGTGTCACCTGAGTCTCAAAATCTCAATACTGAAAGGTACCAAATCATAGAGATAAAACGTTTTATTAGCTTCAAATATGTATGATTCTCATAACTCTGTGTCAAGTATCAACATATTTATTCGTGATTTAGAAATAACCGCCGTTTAAACGTCATCTGGGCAAAATGGCCAACTGACAAGACAGCTGTTTTCAAAAAAATATTTTTCAGACTTCCTAACGTCGTATGACTAAGTTCTCTATACGAAAAAAAAAGAACAACTCAAGTTCTTTACAATGGTACCAACCACTTCCTATTCAGGCCAAAATTTAGACTTGTAGATTTTTTTCAAGAAAACGTGTTTTACAAGATTTTGTCGATTGCGGCTTGAAAATGTTACGCACCCAAAATATTGTTCAAATTATAATAGCAATTATATTGATCTGTTAGTGCTACAAGGTTCTTTTATACATGAAAATAAAAGTTCAGAATCTCCTTTTTCCAACGGTATCAAAATTATTACGCTTCTGGATCATTTTCACGCACCGAGCGCACACATCAGAACGCCGTTAAAACGTCGCAAGGGGTTAAAAACCCTCTATTTTTACCTAAAAACCTGTTCTTCATAACAAACTAATTTTATTAAAAAAACTGCCATTATTAGGTAATGTAATGACTCAAGTAAATGTTAGTCATGTCGGAGGAGGAAGGACATACAAGAACATGAGTATCATGTTCTTGTATTATGTTATAATGTTCATGTTCTTGTATCATATTACCTGTAGTAATTATACTGGTTCCTACTTTTTGTTACAGAAGAGAACGTTGGAATGTTTGAAAAGGAGAAGTTCTGCTCAGCCTGATAATATTTACAGTGAAGTGCTTGCCAAGTTAGAATTACCTTGAAGTTTTTCCAAATTGTTTTAACTGCAAGACAGATTTCTCCTGCTTTAGGTTAAAATATTTTGTCATGCTTGGGAAATATTACCCTACCATGTTTGGGTTAGGAGAAATTGTCTTACAACAAAAATATAAGAACCAATCAGGATGCTAGTAGTTAATGAAGAAACACCAGCTCAAAATTTACTTTAAATAGTTTGTTTGGTAAATTGATAGAACTCTATGTGTGTGCATGTTAAAATCGGGATTTTTGTCATCATCTGGGCAAGTCATGAGGTGGTTCTTTATGCTGTGGTAAAAACATTTGTATCAACATCATAAAGAAGGGCCATGTAATTGGTACCATAGACTAAAAGAATTAAATATAGACCGTCAGCTGTGCTGCGGTTACCATAGCTTCTGGCGCACACCGTTTGGAGCGCCATGTAGTTACGGCGTAGGCGCTACGTAAACTACAGCGGTGTGCGCCGGAACCTATGGTAACCGCAGCACGGCTGACAGTCTATATTTAATTTTTTTTGTCTATGTCGGTACTGAGTGGAACTGTGTTCAAAATTGGACAGGTTTTCATCTCCACATTTTTTTATTGCATAACTCAAAATATTCAAACGCATAGCTTTATAAACATTGTGAAATTCAATGGATATTGAAAAATTAAATTAGTATCAACATTAAAACACCAACATTGTTGGTATGAACAGCACAGGCAGCTGGTTTTAGTAAGCAACCCAACTAAGTAAACCAGTCAGCTGTTTTTCCTGATTGACTGGTTCAAAATCATATGTTATTTTATTTATAATATTAATAAGAAAATGTAAATCATTTAAGCCTGAATACTCTATATTGTTATTGATTCATATTTTTATAAGTTGTAAAGAAATAATAAAGATTTAATCTTTATTTCTATAAGATATTTTTAGTAGTCTTTGTTTTAATTTTACCCACTCCTTGGTCAGACTCGTTAGCTGATCATGCATCTGACCTGTATTATACTAAAAAATTCAACTAAAGAGGTGTAAAGGTAGAACCTGCTTGATAATCTATTATCAATGGCTTCATGGGGGGATGCCATCCAAGGTTGTTGTTGGATCCGAGATTCATAACTTATTTCTGCTGAAGGACATAGTCTAGTTTGTATTGGATGAGAATTGGTTTTCTAACAGTATGCAGACAGATTCACTGGAAGTTCAAATTCAAACTCGCTCATCATAGGGAAATAGTATTTTTGTAAAAATAAAAATTATTATGATTTTGTTCCAGAGAGAGCAGTTTAAATCTCTTGGCAGAAAAAAAAACGTCTGAAAAATCAATTTAGAAAATAATGTTTATATTATTTTGAGAATATCTTTAAAACTAATGCATATACATAAGAAATTAATATAACCATTTTTGTAGAGAATTTTATCATCTTTCTTTTTATAATTTACATTTTTTCCGTACAACGCACGGTTTTTAGTGTAGAAGTAAAAAACTAAAAAAATGGGGTCTTTCCCCCCTCCCCCCGCTGAAGCAGCAGGGCCAGGGGCAGGGACTTTTGGTATTTTTATCTTCTAACTACCCCGAACACATTCCCGCAGAAAAAATTTTCCCCCTCTCAATGTCCTCTAAACCCCTCTTTTGAGCATTCATTGACTGGACTAAGAATGGATTTAATCCTTAATAATTATTACTATATGGAAAAATAATGTAAAAGGTCATGTTAGCCCGTAGTGAAGTCACAACTTCAGCTGGTTCATAATAAAACTCAAAAGTATGTCAGGTAAAGCCGACAGGCAACAGCTAGTGTTTTATAAATGACAATTTAAATACATCCTGTAGAGTGTAGGTTATGTTGATATTTCCAAGTATGAATGTAGTGATTTTGTGCTCTTCAATAAAAGTGGTTAAAACTAATTCATATTAACTATATGGTATTAAGAAGAGTATAAATAGTGTTTTTAAAGTTTTGCAGACAGCTGGAAATATAATAAACACCTGTAAATATTGTGCAAACCGTTTTAATTTTATTAAAAAGTTAGGAGCAAAGTTAACCTAATTTCCAGCAGGTTAGAACAATTTTATAAATACATTATTTTATTAAATTTTATTTGACAAACAAATAAACTTTTATAAATGTATGCCTGTAAATCATTAGTGGATCTAGCATATCCAGTTGTATTATAATTTTACATTAGTAGCCTGCACAATCTACTACATAGACAATTACAAGTTTTTTGCAAAAACACTACTCACCACTATTATGTTTTGTAATAACCAGTGCACAAATAATCCATAATTTATTAGAAGTATACAACTAATATAACTAAATATTATAAGGAGTTAGATCAATAGTACCTACTGTACAATCAGGACACTTTATCTTCAAGAAATAGCTCACAAACGAACCTGTTTTCAACTGAACCTAAGTTATAAGTTCAACATCATCTGTGATAAGAATCAAGCTAGACAGAATAAGGATTTGTTATCTACATTCATTCTGATTTATCAATCACATAGTTCATAATATCATCACAGCTAATTTCCTATCTGCTTTGGTTAATTTAAATAACATTTTGTCTAGTACCATGTCTGATATATGTTTAACACCAGATTTTCAAAACTGATCAAAGATGCAGTTACGTGATTGGGAGAGTAAAGGTATCATTTTAAAAATGGGACAAATTTTATTGCTTAAAGAAAATGACTTAGTCTTTGGGAAGGTCAAAGGGTATCCATTTTGGCCAGCAAAAATAATAAATATTGACCGTGTGACCTACAGAAATGTTACTAAATATAAAGTTAATTTCTTTGCAACTAATGAGACTGCCATTTTACACAAAGGAGATCTTTTCCATTACCAGGACAAAAGATTTCAATTGACTACAGAGTCAGTAGCTCAAAAACATAAGGAAATATATAAGAAAGCTTTGGTTGAAATTAAAGCAGCCTGGGAGTTAGCTAAAGCTACTAACAAAACAATGAGCCCATCTAATACGGTTCAGAGTAAAAAAAACACAACTAAGGATACCTTTCTTAATCTACCCACACACATGAGTACAGCATGCAGCTCCACTCCTAGGGGTCATGGTGGTCAAGAAAGCTTAGATTAAACGTTGAATATGGTATCATTAGTTGACAAAAATGATCTGAACTCGAGGTCATCAAGATGGCGGATAGCTAAAATAATCTTTAGAAGTGCTCTCCTTTATCTTTTAAAATCAGTTATTTTTAGCCTACAAAATTTATTTTTAATCAGTTAAAAGTGAATTATTAACACACCTCTTTTCGTTCAGAAAAACATAGAGTGAAATAGTTGGTTCAAGACTTTATGATGACCTTCTAGGAGTGACAACACGTCTTTAAGGCTTGACAATGACACCATGAGTGTCGAAACCGGTCGCCATCCAGACTACAGTGGCAACAATAAGGTATTTAACCTCTAGAATAATATTGTTAAGTAATCCGGAAGGCAACACCTCAAAAATGAAATCCTGATAACACCTGGTTGCGCAAACTCCTGATAAGATAATTATTGTTATTATTATGTATTTTTTTTATAGTATTATAGTTCTATTTAACTTGTTGAACATTTTTACTTTTAATTAATTGACAAGTGCTTAAGATTTTTTTTTTTATATATATATTGCTCTTTAGTAAAATTAAAATGAGCAAAAGTAATTTAAAACCTTGTTACTTTAAAAAAAAAATCCATGTTTGACAAAATTACAAAAATCTAATAAGCTACTAATTTTGGCTGACAGTCATGGCCGAGGACTTAGTAACCTCTTATCGCAGAATACCAATCTTAATGTAACGGCCATAATTGTAAAACCTGGGGTATTGTTGATCGATGTTATTCGAGATATCTCTGAAATGTCAAAAGACTGACTGGAATGATTTCATTTTGATCATGTGTGGAACCCACAATGTTGACCACAAAGGCGCAAAGAATGTCATGAAAGACTTTCACACTTTGCTGAATAGTTCTATAAAGGCTAATTTAATAGTTGCCTCTCTTCCTATGCGCCATGACTTACCTAGACTAGACAGTAAAATCACTCAAATTAATTATGAGCTTACGGAAAAAGTTAAGAACTCAACAGCAAACACCAGACCTCTAGAACTACATCTTTTGCCCCGTGACCTTTATACAAACCTCGGCCTTCACTTTAACAAGAGAGGAAAAAGGAAGATTGCTGAGTAAATTAAAAGACTACTCCAACATTGCTGTTTAAGTTCGTCGTCTTACAGTAAACTCAACATCAAAGTGCCTACTGAAGATGCACCGATCGTCACTGTGAAGGAGGCAGACATGAACACTGTAATTCACAGGTTAAGGGGTAAAACGTAAAACATACAGCTTTTGCCCACTGCATGTCTGCCGACATTGACAGTGACAGGCACATGAGCGCAGGTGTGGCAACTGCTTTCAAGAAACATTTCAACAAACCTTTGACGACAGTTTTTGTTAATAAAACTCTGACTTACCAAAAATTCCATAATGCAGTAGCTTATGGGTTAAAGCCTAAGTTTAACACAAAACCGAACATTGAAGACTACAATGAATCTTCCAAAAGCTTCACACAGAACACATTACTAGAAGGGCATCAACTAATTGTTTGTTCCCCAATGGGTTGTGTCAGAGACAATATCCCCATTGAACATTTTGTTACAAAAATATGTGAGCTCCACCAAAAAACAAAAGCTAAAGTCATGATTGTAGTAAGCAATGAATCTTCTACCAGAATTCTAAGATGTGGTCTTTCTTATGTCGAGTTTGTTGAAAGGATTAGACAACACCTAGGGAACCTGATGAAGACCTTTTATGTCGCTGATAGAAGACCGGCAACAGCATCAACTTTGGAGAAAATCACAAGTGACAGTGGGGATGCACCTGTTTCTGACACAAGATCACTCAATGTAAATAGTAGTTGTAGTGAAAATGTATTCCAACTTGACTCCAATCCCATCCTGACCCCTCTCACTTTAAACTGTCAACACCCACTTATCGACCTAACAACCTAGAAGTTGGAAAATAAGAATTTTCAGAGTATTATGCTCTTAAATATTCAAGGCGGGATTCAAACAAGCTCAATAATAAGTTTTTTTACAGAACATAAATATAAATGTTATATGTCTCGTAGAACATTGGCTAAGACCTGATCAAATAGCTGTTCCTAATGCTTTAAATTCTTTTAGCTTAGCTGCTTTTTACTGTAGAAAAGAATGTTTACATGGTGGATCCCAGGGGTGGGCGGACCGGGCGGTCGCCCAGGGCGGCGGGGCCGCGGCGGTGGGACCGGGGCGGTGGGACCGGGGCGGCGAGGCCGGGGCGGCGGGGCCGGGGCGGCGGAGCCGTGGTGGGGAAGCCGGGGCGGTGGAACTGGGGCGGCAGAGCCAGGGCAACAAACAAATTTTAGGGAACAGTAAATTTTTAATACGAATAAAATAATAAATTCATTAAGTGAATGTGAAGAGTACAATTATCTATATTACATTTTACGCAAAGAACAAGCCTAAGAAGATAAACGACAATTCAAACATCGATTTAAAATTATAATTTAAGCCCAAATATAAAAACAAACCACTCGGCTTGTGTATCGAACAACCGTCGCCACGACGTTACGACGTTACCCAGGACGAGTGAACATTGCAGCGGTTGGGATTGACCTGGACACGTATTCCTCTCTATCTCTCTCTGCCCACTCCCACGACGTTGTGTTTACTTCATTATTGATTATTTTGGTAGCATGGGCTTCCCTTCCCTCCGAGAGAGAGGAGTTGCAAAAATTAGATATTTTGCAGCTTTTTATCTTAATAAACAATGTCGTACAACAATTAATAACATTGCCGTTTTGGGGAAAATCCAAGATGGCCGAGAGTCCTGCCGACTCTTAGGTCAGATTTTAAACAAAAACCAAAAAATAATTGATA